TAAAAGCGCGTGTAGGGCATCTGTAACTTAACCCCATAGACAAAACAAATAAGCAGTAGAAGTAGAAGAAAGAACGCTCATATGCGGGAAAATGTAAACATGCAACCGAAGCAGGTAAACACGAAGTCGTCGAATTGCGACAAGAAGGGATTGGCCTCGAAAACTAAGCTAATGGGGAAGAATTATTCCTTGAGCAAAAACTAGCAACAGTAGAGGAATGAGATAGGTGATTTCGACATTACGCGGCCATGACGTCGATTCTTTGGGCAACAAAAAGGTGAGTGTAACTTTCCGAATAAGAAGAAACATTACAAGACTTTCTTCGTTGCATATGCCACAATATCAGCATTGATGAGGACCAGCTCAATGGAATTGAATGAATTTGGAGGAGGCTTCACCATGTTGTCCTTGAACATCTTTATCAACGACTAGAACTCTAAGATTTGCAAATTGTAATGCTACAAATTCAATAATAAGTCACGATTATTGATTCCAGATAAAGTTATACAAAACAATAATCAAAGCCTTTCCTTCAAACCCATATTTAGGATTAACTTTGGGCATCAGGGAAACTAAGGCATTTTCTGTTAGATACGATTAACATAAACAAAAATGTTGCAAATACTGTGAGAGCGTGTACTATATGTCAGAAAAGCAAAACATCTTCTGGTAACATTTAGTGAGGAATTAGGATAATTTCCTATTCCATAATGCACCTTTGTACGCCTCCACATTGATAAAGTTGTTCCTTTGCCCAGTGTGGAATGGTAATAGATTCATTTTTTTAGGTGTACGCGCTTTTAGCAAACTCATAATTCGTATCGCAATTCCAAATCGGACAACAGATCTTGTTGTAAAAGCTTTGAATGATGTTATAGCAAAACACGAGATTTTTAACGAACTAGTGTCCGATCGTGGCTTCAATTACACCAGCTTGCTTCCTCCTCTCGCTGGACGAATAGAATGACCACAATGCCTCATCAGGTTCATGCCTTACCGATGACTGTTGTTCTAAATGTCTAATCGCGACTTACCGGCACTTCCTTTTGCAAGATGAGTGTGGACGAGAGGGATCAGCAAAGTCAAACCCATCTGTGAACGGAACCATCGGACTTTGAGAAGACATCAGTAGGAATCGTTAGCGAAGAATAGGGATGACTGATGCCCGCTTTGGCTACAGTTTTACGGGATATTAGGAATTTGAAAGACGCAATTTCTGAGTAGTTTTCTAGTTTGTTCGTCAACGTAGACTGGTTGAGCTTGTTATGCTCTCCTGAAAAGCTAGAAAAAAATTCCAAGGAGCAGCAGTGAGGAATGAAGTTGTTGGATGTCTGAAGAGGTTTAAGAGAGCACTGCATTAGCCTTACATCGACGACAGGAGTATCATCAACTGCACTGTACAAGTATCCTTTCTTTTGAGAACAATGAAAAAGGCCACAAAGCGTTTACAAATTCTACTTGTTTCAAATCCACTTGCCTATTTAATGCACTTTCGAATTTCATAAAACCAACTTACCACCTTGTAAAGAACTAAATATGCTGCTTTCTTTCCCAACAAAAGGAAGCGAACACCTGAAAAATATTCTGCTTGATTTCTGTTTTAGTCTACCTTTCGTTTCATCGCTTAACGACTAGGACGAGTAAAGCAAAAACATGTTACTTAACACACAAAGGTGACTTATAAGTGTAGAATGGTTTTACTAAGGATCTCACCATTCTACGACTACTGCTGTCGTCTTGGAGGCAAGGCTGTGCAATCTCTCCTAAATTGTTCAGGGCCGCTTAGTACCTTAAGCGTACATAGGACCGCCTCTGAGTCAGTGGATTCCAGGTTAAAAATAACGATGATAATAACAACAATATTATGTTGTCCTGTCAACCACTAGAATCGAAAATTACCGACTAAAGCTAGTTTATAAATCTCTTAGAAAAAACAAAACAGGAACATGTGACAGAAATAAGTGTTCGATATGTGATAAAATAAAACTCAACATCTTTGTAACAGCAAAAAAGACACATTCCTCGCTCGTTTA